TTGAGTGACAGGCCCATAGGTCATGCAAAGGCCACGTGCAGGGCCTGTTACTATGACGCTTACAAGATAGCCTCTGCACTGGCAGCACTCACAGAGCAAATTTCCAAGACACTTGCCTCTGTTCTCCTGCCTCCGTAGCTGTCACCTGTTACATAGGGAGTTAAATCCACTTTGTTTTTCAGACTTCTTAAAATATAATATAGATTTTTTTACTTTCCTTATTTGCCTGATATATAAAGGTGAGAGCAAGCCCCCCCTCGCACCTATGGCTTGGAAACCCTGCTACACTTTGTAAACCATTGAGGAGAGATGGGGGGTGCGGGGGGAGGCAGTATGTTTGACTTCACCATGTATAGTTTCTCAATATTCATGATCACTTTAAAGCTAGTTTAGAAGATCAAATGAATCAAGTAGAATATGGCTTTAGAGAACTTTTTATTTTTAACCAGAAATAATTTTAGCTTTTAAATACTTAATGTAGAGGTGTTTAAAATAGCAAGAGATTTTGTTCAGGATCTGTTGTCTCATTAGTGACTTTTTTTCCACAATTGGGGAAAAAGAAATTAAAATTGAAAAACTTAAAGGATGGTTTAGGCAATTGTCTCCCAATATGTTCATTGGCATGCTTCCTAGGTGTACATCACAGCAGTAGCACTGTGGGCATTGATAATGGAGCTATTCCAAGTAGCTGCAGTGAGCAGAAAATTAAAGTAATGGAGACCTCGCAGCAAGGATATTGTTGCTGTAGCTATATTGGACATGTGAAATACATACTTTAAATACCCCTTACTTACAAGTCATTTTGTCATGAAATAAATAAACACCTCAGTTTGTGCAAGGCAGTAGCAAGACATGTTTGCAGTAGCTGCTGTTCATTTGTGAGAGAAGGATTTTCTCACGGTTTCAACTTGAGAATGGATAGAGATTTAAGAAACTTGCTCATTACTCATATTTCCACTGAGATTTTTTTTTCTGGATCTCTGCAAGACTTCTATTTTTAGTTCTATTGATGTGCAACAAGAAAGAGCTGTTTCAAATCTTCTGTCATAAGACTGTAGAGATCCCGAATCTGAAATGTGTTATGTTTGATTTTTCAGAGAGAAGTTCCATACCTTGAAGCAACATGACTTCTTTAAATAGTATAATTAAATGTGTTGTGATGCGAACTCTGTGGGTTACACTAAAATTAACCATATTTAAAACTGAAAGTGCAGGAGATGTCATTATGATAAAAATTACACAACTTGTCTTGCCTAGGTTTGTTTTCACAGAGTGGGTTACTGTGGCAACTGTCAATCCTCCTGGAACATGGTGTATGCATGAGGGCTACCCAGACCTTCGATGCATATGCCTGGGCAGGAATTTTTGGAGGAGTGGAGGCTGTGGGTTACTGCGTAGCCACATTTTAAACACAGACTAAATTGCTAGCTACTTTTCTTTTTCAAATTTTCATCAATGACATTTTCTGTTCACAGAATTCAGCTGTCTCCAATTCTAGCTGGTCAGAATTAGATGTACTCATTTTGGCAGGAACTCTTGGCCATGTTCTCAGTCTGGGGGCAAGCAGTTTTATAGAAGAAGAGCACCAAACCTGGTATTTTCTTATCAATACCCTTTGTCTGGCACTGTGCCAGGAAATTTGTAGGCACTACTTTCTTTTGAAAGAATCTGATCTTCAGTTTAGCACTGTTCTGAAACAGACTGTTGAAGATTTCAAAGAAACGGGTCACTTCAAGGAAGTTGATATACCAGCATGTGATTCAAAACTGAACAAGTTTGCCACCTCAGCTGAACTTAGAAAAGGCTCCGAAAAATGGATAGGCTTAGCAAGTCCCTGGATCATCCTTATTTGCTGTCGGCTACTTCGTTCATTAAACCAGACAGGAGTTCAGTGGGCTCATCGGCCAGATTTTGGACACTGGTTAACAAGGTGGGTACCTAACTACTGTGTTATAGTTGCTACTTGAAATATTTTGTGTTTCTTTCATTCATTCATTCATTCATTTATTTATTTATGTTTAGTTCAGTAAACTCTTAAAATGTTTCTTGATACAGAAAATACTTAAAATAGTAGAAGGGAGTGATTATTAACTTAGTACAGTGATTCTCAACCAGGGTGATGCTTGATGCTCTGAAAGGTTCTATGAGGTATGAGAAGGTAAGCGGGTAAGGACAGGCTTAATCTTGTCCCTGCCTAGCCAACTCCTTACCCCCATTGCCTAGTCCCTCTGCAAGAAAGTAAGCACTGTGATGTATAATTTAGTTTTTGAAATTGGGTGCCACTCAATTCACAGAAGTTATTGAGGGACGCCTCAAGTCCAAAACAGTTGACAGTTACTGTATTAGTAGTTGTTCCATGTATTACATTTACCACCACTAGGTTATTGCTCATGATGTATAATCTAAGTCTTGCAAATTTCAAGGCACATTTTTATCAGAGGCATATAATAGTCTTTAATAACAATATTAACAGTGGCTAGCATAGTATAAAAAGAAATGTAATGGGAGAAATTTTATATAATTTTTCAGCAGAAAGACTTAACTGTTTGGTGTTCTTTCTGATCTGTTGCAAGGGCTTCAATTTTGTTTGTTTTCTCAGATTTAGCACAATAAGATATTGCATTATTAGTGAATGACCTTGAATTTCTCATGACTTAAAGAATACTGTGGAATGGGTCCTTTTTGTGTCTTTTCAGTGCCTTCATTTTTCTCAAGGTAACTGCAGCAGTTGCTTATGGGGCTGGAAGTAATATTAGGAAAGCATTTGGTGTTTTAGCTATTTAGGTCTGGTTCAGCAGCTGAACAGGGAAAACAGCACCAGGTAGTGCTTTGCAGGTGACAGCTGAGGAGCCTCTGTTGTGTACATGTGAAGAGATGTCCATACAGCATCTCTTCAGAGAGACACACATTAAAATGTCATGCATCATTCATCTGAGAGAACTTGAGCATATAACTGCTGTTCAGGCCAGTTGCTTCGTGAAAGGCGCACTGTCCCAGGGAATCAAAAGCGGAGGCACTGGAATGGCCTCCTGCGGCGGGACCCTGAGGCAGGGTCAGCATGCTCAGGAAAAGAGATAGGAAGCCCTGAAAAGAGGGCATATTTACTACCCACAGGAAAAGCGGAGCCATGCCGAGCAGGGCCGCTGGCGTGGTTCATCAGCCACTTTTATTGCCGGCTGGGAGCGGTGCCAGCAGATGATGTCAGAAAAAACTGCTGCCCGGCAGATTCAAAAGCTGGCAGTGGAGAAATGGCGGAGGAGGCAGCAAGGACGCCTGAGTGCGAAGCTACTCCCTGGGCTGCGACTCATCAAGGTCGACAGTTCTGGAAGGGGCAGGGCGGAGACCCACCGGAGGGGTCTCAACTACATTAAGAGGTCTTCACACGCAACTCAGTGGGACAGCTGGGACAAAGAAGGACAGCATCGAGGGATCTAGAGGACCACAGACGTCAGACCCATGAGTGGGGTTGGCAGAGACCTGTACCCTGATTTATCCTTTGCTTCTTTCTTTTTTTACTTTATTTTGGAGGGCACTCAGGGTCAAAACCAGGGAAGAACCCTCTACGGGGTCCAGGGTCACGAAGAGAGACCGAGACGGTATTGCAGGAGCCTCGGAAGGATTTCAGGTGCAGGGACGAAGATGATCCCACACCTCTCAGTCATCCAGGGATAGACAAGGTGATAAGGAGACAGACAAGGACATCACTAGGGAACAGGCTGGTGACCTATCATCTGGTGGTCCTGAGGGCTGGTGCATGGCTGGGGTGTAGGGGAGGTGGAGCCCGAAGAGCCGCCTGCAGAAGGCAGCACCTGATTCGTGAGAATCCACAAGAAGGAGCACCACCACTGAAGAAAAGAAGACCAGGTCGTGGCAGAAAAGTTTTGGGGTCTCCCTTGAGGTGGAACATGACCTAACTCCCAGGTCCCGGGGACATACCTCTCAGCCGGAGCCGGCTGTGCGCTCGAAGGCCACCAGAGAGTGCCTATATGGGACCAGGCAGGGGCACATACTAAAAACATGAGTGGTTGTTGTGACATGCTTGACCAGTGAAGAATTAATATGCAAAAACTTGGACTTTCTGATTAGTATAAAGATGTCAGCCTTTTGACTAAACTTCTACATCTAGAGACTGCTGAAAAATTAAGGAAGGAGTTTTGAATCCAGTATGTAGTCTGATGTGACAAAGAGGGTGTTTCTAGCATGATCAAACCATTATGAGGGATGGCATCTAGGAGATGCAGGTTTAACTATTATCCGGTGACTTTTGAATTTTTTGTTTATAAACAGAAAAAAAGATTGATTTTCCTCCTGATTCTATAGAGGTGGAGAAAAGTGCAGGAAGATGCATTGCCCTAGTGCCCCCCATTTCACAACAGCAAGTTTTTTTGGTTTCTTCTGAAGCTTGAAGTGTTACTCATTCCCACAAGTGGAAATGGAGGCCATCTTCATAGATCACTTAGTAATAATCTAAGTTATTTAGAATTTTTCCACTTTTTCCTCTTTCTCCTTCTCTCAATGTTGCTGATTTAGTAGAAATGACTTGGGAAATCCAGTGTCTTTTATTTGTGTCATATTCTGCAAGCATTAACATACAATCAATATTCTTAAAGAAAATAACTCACTAGCAAGTAACCTTTATCCATCTCCTAAAAGCCTCTTTGCTATCATGAAGCAGAATGAAAGTGACCTCTTGTACCATGGAAAAAACAGCAACCAAAATAATCCCAATTGTAGTAATTGATTAATTGTATTAATTTTGATTTGTTTTGGAAAGCTGAGCCAAAATGGAAGCTTTACAGCAGCTGATCTGCAGGGCGAGGAGGGTAGCACTTCATTAGTTTACATTTAGGCAAAGGAGCTGAATAAATGTCTTTAGTCTTCATTTGAACAGCAAGAGTTTAGAAACAGATATAGGAATCCAATGTAAAGAGTGTGTACAGCAAAGGCGTTCCTCACATTCTTTTCCCGGGAGGACAGTATTGCAACTAATTCTATTGTGTGGTTAAGTTTAAAACCATAATTATTGGGTTTTGGTTTCTAAAGTGAGATACGTTGGTGTGGCAGTGACATGCCCCCACAGGCTTTCAGAGGGGCAGGAGCGAGCTCCAGGGGTCCCAAAACACTGAAACAGACCCCCTGCAGGGAAAACTTACCTCCTGCTGGCCCGGCAGCACAGGAACCGGGACCACAGCCGTGCGAGCTGGCATTATGCCGGCTGTTTAATCAGCTGTTCCCTGCACAGGGAACAGCTGGACCAATCACGGCGGCCGTACTGGCCGCTGCGTGGAGGTTTAAAAGCCCCAAAAGACCCAGGGTGGGGGAGGAGCCAGAGGAAGAGAGAGTAGGTGGGCATCATGTCAGACGTGCTGAAGCTTCTGCAGGGAAGAGGAGCGGCACAGCCAGAGCAGCACCAGCGAGCAGGGCAGCAGAAATCTTCAAGCCCCCTATCGGAGGCAGAGGAGGGGAAACACTTGAGCCCCCTGTAGGAGGCAGAGCAAGGGAAGCACTTCAGCTCCCTGTGGAAGACAGGCCAGGGGTAGCATTCGAGCTCCCTATAAGAGGTAGAGCAGGGGAAGCGTTTGAGCCCCCTGTAGGAGGCTGGGGGAAAGGAGGCAGCTCCACATCCCTCTCCTCCCCAGGAGAATATTTCTTCTGAAGAAAACAGAAAAAGAAAGAGAAAAAAATCAAAGAGATACAGAGAGAAGGTTGGGGCATCAAGGTCGGAAGGACAAGAGCTGATAGAGCCCACTCGGACGTGGGTCCCCCCACCTGAAGCAGGCAAGCCTGCGGGGTCGAAACCACCATCGCACAATCACCCATCCGGTTGGTGAGTGGATGGGCTGTAGGGGAGGTGGAGCCCCGTGGAACATCGCGCCAAACAATTGTGAGTACTGCCATTGTCGGGAAGCTCTCCCAAGAAGATCTCCACTGGATCCCCCTCTCTTGATAGCTTAACATCAAAGTCGTGGTAGATGAGTTGAGGGGAGGGGCAACATATCCGACAGGCCGTGCTACCCATAAGGCCCCCCCAGACCTCGCAGTCAGTCACTAGGCATCTCAGTAAATTACATGCCATTATAATGTCCACAGCTAGTCAAATCAGGTTATGTTTAGGTGACTAGCGCTACTTAAACAAAACCTGGAACATTTAATTCAGGTGTTTTAATATGGATTTGAATGCAGAACTTTTAAGAATCCTGTCTGGAAAATGTTGGCACTTAAACAGGATATATTGACTTAGGCTGTTAAACCTGCAGTTGTTAACCTGGAGACATACCTTGATACTATGCAGCAGACCCAAACCTGCTATGGAAAAATCTCATGTGAGCCATCCAGCCTAAAAAAAAGGTGGAATCAACTATTACAATAAGAGCTACCTGACAGACAGCCTACCAATGACACAGGAGAGAACCAAGACAACAGAACACAGAACACCAGCATCATAAACTTACCATAACACTGCCTATCCCATTCTAAAATATCTGTATTCTCCAAAGACCTGAATTTCTGCCCAGAAGAACAGCCGGGCAAGATACTAATATGTGGACAATTAGAAGAATTTCTAAGCAGGTTTCTACTGAAAACTTCCACAACCAGGACAGAACCAGCTCTGATAAAACAAACAACAATAAAATGTCTGACTGGACACCTCCCAGCAGACAGAGCCATACAACTTCACTGGTAGAAGAAAGCTAACGGTGAAATTTGCAATAAAAGTCAGGACTACCACAACCTTTCTCCCTCAGAGAGAAAAGCCATACATTCCCTAAGATCCAACAACGAAATAGTAATCAAACCAGTAGATAAACGAGGAGCTATTGTTATCCTCAACTGTCAAGACTACGTCAGTTGTCATCTTCTTTCGTATAGCTGATGTAGGTATAGAAGAGTAACTATAATTTTACCTTTAGGTGGTTGAGCCAGAAAAATGTGTCAGGAGCAGCAGAGCGTATTGCTGTGATACCTCCTTCATATTTGTGGGTCGGGCATTGAGTTGTTATATGTTCCATTGTCTATTTTGGGTTATGACAGTTGCACACTGGAGAGTTTTTAATTTTCCATTTGTGCATCAAGTACCCACATCTCCCATGGCTTGTGCAGATATGGTTTAGAGTTTCCCATAAGCATCATGGGAGATCAAAGCCAGGCATTTTCTGCATTGGAGCTATCATAAGATGTTTATTTGAGACTTCCTATGAACTACATTCAGTTTTCCAAGCTACATCAGGGTTAAAATCATGTTTTTGAAGGTTAAGTGGGTAGATCCAAAAGGGCTTGTGGAGTTTAGGTGATGGTGAGGGGCATTGTTGAGGTCCTGATGGATTGAGGGATGTTTGTTTTGCTTAATTTGCTGGACTTCCCTTAGAGTTGCTGCCTCACAATTAATGGGTGGAGGAGCAACGTGTGACAGCATGGGCAGCCAAAGGGTTGGGGCCGACTTGAGGGTTCCAGCGATGCACCGCATTGCAGAGTTCAGTTGGATGTCAACAAGTCAAGTGTGACTGCTTCTGGTCCATACTGGTGTATAGTAGTCGGCTACAGAGTAGGCAAGGGCCAGCACTGATATCTGTAATACTGATGTTGATGCTCCCTAGCTTGTGCTTGCCAACTGCTTGTGCTTGCTAATTGCTTCCCAGCTTGTGCTTGTCAACTATGTCAATGGGCACCTATATATGAGCAGCAAGGCTGTTCCAACACACTGTAATTACAGTGTGTCGAAGCAGGCTTGATTAATCAAGTCTGCTGGAGTGTGGTAATTACTGTTTTAGCAGACTCCAGTGTTATATGTATCAGCATCCCTGCGCTGAAAAATGGTGGTGGGGGCACTTTACCTAAAGCTTGTTCGATGAGCTTTGGTTAAAGCGCCCATGCCACCATTTTTCAGTGCAGGGATGCTGATGCACAAGAGATGCGCTGGGCACTTTAATTAGAGTGGTTCTTGGAGTCGTTCTAACTAAAGCCTCTCCCCCACTTTCCTGGAGGCCATGTGTAAACACCCAATGAGGCTAACAGATAACTCTGACATCACCTTCTGTAAGGGGAACTGGGGAGGACCCCACACCAGTATTTGCTCCAGAAATGGAAAATATTATCAAATCCTTTTCATACTAGCTTCAGGAAAGATCAGAAGAATCATCAAACAGTTACAGCCTATATTGGATAAAGATCAGACATTGAGAGAAATTCCCAGTCTCTGGCTCCTGGCTTTCAAACAACCCCCTAACCTTATGCAACTCATCATCAGAAGCAAACTCCCTGCTGTTCAACAGACATGAAATGGGACACAGTCTTGTCTTGACAATAGATGCAAAACCTATGAGCACATCTCTGCTGCTACTGTAGTCAACACCTGCTGCAACAGACGCATCAGAATCTGTGGATTCTACACGTCTATCCTACACATGTCTAAAATGTGGTATCTCTCTCCAGTGCACTAAATACTCCTATGGAAACTATGTGAAACTACTCACCCTGCTTCTGGGAGGTGGTGCTGCTCCATCCCCACCCGCCCATGGACCAATCCAAGTACCCCCGGGGGTCTGTGGACCCCCGGTTGACAACCCCTGCAGTAGAAGATATTGACCACAGAAATCCATGGCACCACTAGCTGTTTTATGCCAGCCGGGCTTCTTGTTAGTGATCATTTTATTTGTTTAACGAAGAAAAATCTATTAAACTCCCACATAAAGCATTTCATTAAGTTAAAACAAGGATTACTAAGTACAACTTAAAACAGAATGTATCATTACACTCTTCAAAAAACCCACACATCTGTCAAAAAAGGGTTACCTAAAGAATTCCGATACCAGACCCCATGTCAACTGCCAGTCAGCACAACACTTACTGACATACCTGAAGAACTCTTTAGAGCTGCTCACCTTTCTCCCCTCATCCTCTCCATGCTGCAATATCTCTGTACCCTAGCTAAGTTGGGAGAGGAGTTGATTGGGTCATGAATATAGACCAGGAGGAAGGAAATGTTTAGCTTTCAGGCCCAATCTTGACTGACTTCTATCCCTGTGGATGAAATAGCTGTCTTACATTTCCCTGTTGGATTCAAAGCAAAGTGTGTAACAAAGAATGGAAAAGTGCAACAGTTTAAGTGATATAAGTGAAGTAAATGAAAGAAAACCTTAAGTTCCGGTGGGGTGATGCAGAGATCATGCAAATATAGACCAAGTGTTGCATTAGTTATCAGGAGGCTTTGGGTATAGACTGTCAACCTTCCATGATGGCATTTTAAGTATGAAGGCAGGGCAAGGCAGAAGATGTCACACTGTTGGTTTGAGTCTCTGTGCAATATAGAATAGTCCAAAGGTAGGCAACACCCAGCACAGGTGCCAGAGCATGGCACGTGAAGGCATTTTGCTTGGCACATGTACCTTGGGGCGGATAGCAAAGGAAGTGTTGCAGCGGTGCTGCCACAAGAAGGATCGGGCTCCTCACAGTTCCCCCACCATCCGTCCCTGGCACACCAACATTTTACAAGTGGAGCTTGTGGGTGTTTTTGGCATTCTGCCCAAAAACATTGCTGACCCCTGGAATAGTCATTCATATTTAAAGCATTTGGAAGGTGTAAAAATATTGGCAGATGGAAACAGACATTTTTCACAGTTGTGTTGAGGGTCCTGTTCACTTTCTTATGAAATACCAATACAATTTACATCTCAGCTATAGGAATTGCCAGTCTATCCATACAGTATAGTAAGAGCTGACCCGAGCAGGGTACAGGGCCTGGGGCAAATCAGCCCATGCGGGGCCCCACCCCTGCTCCGATCCCATGGGCCCCAGACTCAACCGAGCTGCTGCGGTAGAGGAGGGGTGGCAGCAAGCGGCTAGAGGTGGAACCACCGCCTCACCCAGCTCTGTGGGGCCCCACAAAGTGCAGGGACTGGGGCAGTTGCCTTGATTTGTGCCCCCCGCCCCCCCGGGACAGCCCTGAGTATAGTGATAATTGACTCCAGGTAAAGTACTCAGCCTAATCAGATTTAGATTTTTCAGTTTAGTTTGATATTTAGTTGTGGGCAGTATGTTTCATGCATAGCATTTGACTTTGGAATACATTGCATCTGCTGGCCAAAAGGAGTCTACTAGAGTTACCTTCTACAGCAGTGGTTGTAACCTTTTTAGATTCTGGACATTCTCATAACTTTTGTGTATGGAGCAACACCCTGTTTCAGAAACTAATTTATTTACTATGGTGCTTCTCTCCTCATGCAGGAGTCGAGAGGTAGAGGAAGAAGTTGCGGAGGGAAGAATGAGTACTAACCTCCTTGCAAGGGGCAGGGCATTTACAAGCATACATGTACTTCATCACATTCCATGACACCCTTAAAAGGATCTTACAGCACCCCAGGGTGCCATGGTACCCCAGTTGAGAATCACTGTTGTAGGTCATGATGCAAGGCCTATGTCACTGTAGGGTAGCATATGATATATTATTATGTTGACATTAAAAAGAACCCAATTAGACTAACAGGTTTGTTTTGTTTTGTTATGTGTCCTGTTTTGCTGTTAGAAGTAAATTTGTATGAAATAGTGTACCAGTGCCCTTAAACATGTTGGTAAGAGAATGTTATGTTTCTAAAAATTAAGTAATATATATGTACAGAGCTGTTGAAAAGAGCAGGCTTATGAAGTAATAAATACATTTTTCTTGCTGTATATCGAATAGTTAATTTAAGTAAATAATTTGAGCAAAACACCAATTTTTGTGGATAGATAAAATTAAAAAATTGGTGTCAAAGCATTAAAACCTTTTTTGTTATGTAATATGAAGCTTCATTTTTATCTAATTAAAACAAACAGAGCTGCTAACATATGGGAAGACATGATAATTACACTTTTAAATACGCGTGCCTGAGTAGAAAAATCTCATTAACAAAATCTTTCCTCTAAAAACACTCAGGCTTTACAACACCTCTAAGAAATTTAGTAACAGATGTCATTGCAATGATTAATTTTGAAAGTATAGTACAGTAGTTAGATCCCTGTTAAATGTAGGTTTTATATTTTAAATGCAGTAATTACATTTTTTTTTGTTTACAGTTCTGAACATAAAGCTGAACTTTCTCTTCTAGCAGCTATCTCCTTAGTTATGATCTTTATTCTGGTTCAGAGGAGATGCTCCCTGGTTTCAAAAATTGCGATGGCACTTGGGCTCTTGGGAATCTACAGTTATCGTGCAGCCATTGGAAATGTTGTATTTCCATGGCAACAAAGCAACAAAGATGTTTCAAAGTAAGTTCATCAATAGATATGTAACAGACTTGGTACTTTGGATCCTGGAAAATAGCATGTTATCTCTCTACTAGTATTAGACTCGTATGAGCAAAGGGATTCCAGTTGTAGGGATGTGCACTGATAAATTTCATTTTATGTATATAAGTAATTTTTCAGATGAATAAAGTCATATGTGACTATAGCATGTTGAACTGTAAACCTTTCAAAAGCTGAGGAAGACTGACTAACTACAGAAGTAGTTTTTTGATCTAGCCAGTTACAAAGTTTTTCTGGAAAAAGAAGAAAACCTTTCAGTGTTGTTGCTGTATTTACATTTATAGCCTAAATTTATAGTCTAAATTTAGTATAGAATATGCCAAACTGACTTAATTAACTACTTCATGGTTATACATTTTAGATTAAATGGAAACAGTTTCCCTAAAGTATTGTTTTTGTGTCTTTCACAGCCGAGTGCTTTGTAATATGTATCTTTTCAAGACACAGTAAATTCAGGTTCTTGAGATCTGAAGCTTGCAGCGTAACACTGATTGTGACACCTTTTCAAAACTGTGGAGTGGTGCTGCATCCTTTCTTACCATGCCACTCAATAGCTGGTACATTATGTACAGCATGAAGCGAAATAACCCAATGATGCAACTAACTCAGAAGCTGGCAAACTTTTACAGCCAGTGGGCCAGAACAACCAACTCTGGTCCAGTGCAGGTGGGGGGCTTCAGCTTCATGTCAACAACAGGGGGCTTTCCCCATGCTGGGGCCAGGCAGCTAGGAACTGTGCCTGCTCCATCACCACCTCTCCCAGTCCCCTGCTTCCCAACTTCCTAGGTGTCTGCAAACTGCAGCTGTGCTACCATCTCTTCTTCTTACTCCCCCTCCCTCCTTCCCCTCTGGTTGTGGCATGGACATCCCTGGGCTACCTAGCCTAAGTGCAGCTCCCCACCAGCTGGAAGCTGCTCCCATGCTGCAGCTGAGGAGAAGGAGCTGGAGAAGAAATGGCAGCGTGAATGTAGTTAGCAGATGCCTGGCCCCAGTGCATCTCCTCGGGGTCTGGAAGCTGTACCTGCACTCAGGGCCATCCTGAAGGGGTGCAAATCGGGGTGAGCACCCTGAGCCCCATGCTTTGTGGTGCCCTGCAGAGCTGGGTAGAGCAGTGGTGGCGCACAGCTGGGCGGAGCGGCAGCTCCATGTCCAGCCACTTGCTATGCCTCCTCTCCCCCCGATGCCGATGGGGTCCAGGGCCTATGGGGCTGCATGGTCTGATTTGCCCCAGGCCCCTCACCCTCCTTGGGTTGCCTCTGCCTGCACTGCCGCTGGGGAACAGAAAGCAGAGAGAAGCAGCAGTGGTGTGCACACAGATTCCAGTTGTCTGGTCCCAGTACCCAGCTGCTGATATGCCAATGAAATTACTCAGTCTTCATTAAATCAAAGCCAGGAGGGCAGAAAGAAGCCGCAGTGTTGTGAGCATGAGCGCAGGCCCAGGCTAAGCCTTCCAGCTACATGCACCAGATCTGTCCCACAGGCTGTCTGTCACCAACCTCTGCTCTAAATGGTGATGAGTATTTGTCTGTTGTACCATTAGCTGCTTTGTGAATGCAGCCGAATAGCTTTGATAGTTTTATAACAGCTTTGCAGCCTCAAGATGTTCTATGGGTGAGTTGTTGCAGAAAGTTACCAGCTTGCATTCTGGAGTGTGTTTTTTGGAGAGGGGTATTGCGGTTTCTGGCTGGAATAAATTTTTAGAGAGAACACTTTGAGACAGGCTAATATAGAATAGGTTGGGGGTTATGCTTTGAAGTCAAAGTGTCCATGATCACCAAGATGTAGAAAGTGGGCACGACCTGGGAAATGCTCCAAGAAGAGGTTTTAGAGCTAGGTAGTAGAAGGTCAAATTTACTGATAGGTTCATGTAGTTCTTTTACTTTAGAGTGAAAACGCATTGAAAAGATCTTGACTTCTTCATTTAGTTTTAAAGTAGCACTGTGTGTATTTAATCTGCTGTGTAAAGGAGTCCCCAGCGGTCGGCAGGATTTGGCTATGTGCATGAATTCGTTTTTCTGGAAATACACCTGATTTCTAATTGTGATTTCTAGTTTTGCTTTGTTTCACTAAAATTCCTTAGGGTAGAATACTGTGTTCCTTCAGTGGGAAGAAAACTACTGTAGTGTGGAACAGAATATTAACTGCATCCACCAAGCTGCAAATAAAAAGAACACAATTACAGTAATAAGTGAAGTTCTTAAATATATAGAGTGAGCAAAGCTTTCACTGACAGCTTAGTTATGTTATAGTCAGCATGTTAATTGCAATTAGAATAAGACAAATATAGGTTTTTACACGATCTCAGCCTAAATTTGAACGTGAATATGGTGACTGCTGTCAGACCTTCTAGCTCTGATTAAGGAGTAGTTTAAAAGTTGTTCCTTAGTGTCATAAAATAAAGGTTTACTGCCAAATGCATGGTCTCACATTTGAAGTGCAGGTTGAAGAGACATGGCTGTTTAGCTGTAGACATGCACAAGGCTTTTTAATAAAAAAAATAGGCCTTAGGAAAGTGAGGGAGGGCACTAGGTGAGCTTCTGTGCACAGTTCTGCCAAAACACCTCAACCTCATCTTGCACCATTTTTTGAATTCTGTTGAGTAAGAGGAACCAAAAAAAAATCAAGGTTTTGCATTTGTGCAAAGACCTCCATTTTAATTTAGTACCTTCACTGTTTAAACCAAACTAATGGCTAGAGAATAGAAAGTTCAAAATGCATACAGGGTGGAGGCTGCAAAAGTAAAAGGAGTCTTACACTGCCCTAAGCTCCAAACTTAATCTAGAAAAAATACCAGGAATGGCCTGTTTCATACTGGGTTGCCAATCAGGAACCATGTTTTTTTCATTTTTAATTGTATTTGCTATGTGAGCATCAAGTTAATGTACTCATATGACCATAATATGAGGAAATGTAGGGCTTATATTGCATTACATATAAAACTATGTTAAAAGAATGGTAAAGTTGCAAAGTCACCTATTCCAAAAGTGGGAAAGTTAGGGTTAGATTTACTTGTGTAAACCTAATTCACCTTCTTTCTGTGCATACATTGCTGTGTCATGTGAACTACATTAATCACACAGAACAAAGGCCAGTGACATTTTGTATGCTATAGGCTGGAACAACCCAGATTTTGTCCAGTGCAGGCTGGATACCATAGAATAATAGAAAATTAGGGTTGGAAGGGACCTCAGAAGGTCATGTAGTCCAACCTCCTGTTCAAAGCAGGACCATCCACAACTAGATAATCCCAGCCAGGACGTCATCCAGCCAGGTCTTAAAAACCTCCAAGGATGGAGATTCCACAGCCTCTCTTGGTAACCTGTTCCAGTGCTTTACTGCCCTCCTAGTAAGAAAGTGGTTCTTCCTAATATTTAACCTAAACTTCCTTTGCTGCAACAGAAGATCATTGTTCCTTGTTCTGTTATTTGTCAGCATTGAGAACAGTCTATCTCCATCCTCTTTGGAACCACCCTTCAGGTAGTTGAACGATGCTATCAAATCCCTCCTCAGTCTTCTCTTCTCCAGACTAAATAAGTCAGTTCCCACAGCCTCTTCTTGCAAGTCATATGCTCCAGCCCCCCACCCATTTTCGTTGCCTTCTGCTGGATTCTCTCCAGTTTGTCCTCATCTTTTCTGTAACTGGGGGCTGTAGCAAGTTCTTGTCCCAGGGGTGGTTGCGGTACCCCCTGGTGGCTGTGCAGCCCTTGCTAGCTCATGCTTGCCCTTGGACAATCTTCTCTTCACTCACCCACCACACCTTGATGTTAATTTTTTAGAAAAAGTGAGGCTGCTCCAGGCCTTCCCAAGTGTAGTCTCACTCTCTGGCTCCTGAGGCTAATTACATGGGCTCCAATGTCTCACAGATGATCTACTAACCCATGTCCTTCCTGAGCTATGGGCTTCTAGCCCACAGTCCTTGCCCCTTTTGGGTTGTGGGCTCGTTGGCCCCCTTGGTCTCTGGCTGTGACTCCCAGATTCAGTGGCTCCATGGGCCAGATCTGGTCCATGGACCATAAGTTTGTAACCCAACATAGAGTCTTTTTTTCTACTCAGTTTTTCCTTGTACTCCTTCAGTATATAAGATAGATAGTGTCCAGTGAATGGGTACTGTTCAGTGTTTCAGTTTATCCATCATTATTCAGTATGATACCCAGTGCCTTATTTAATGCACACCACCAATACCGTGAACTGAACACAATTATTTCCTCAGAGGATTTTCTTTGGTGCCCATCACCATAGCATCCCAGTGCTTCACAAATATTAATTTATGTTCATGACACCTATGGTAAACAATTCCTGTGTAATAGATGAGGAATTGAACTGCAGAAGTCAAAATCAGAAGTGAAAATCAGCCCCCCACTCCTATTTTTAAACCACTGAAAACAGTCTTAAAATGTGATTTTAGGCCACCTTAACTCTAGGCTCTGTTGCCAGCTTAAACAATGGTAAAAAGTAGAAAGATATTTGGAAACTTTTAAAGGAATTTTGGTGGTGAACTTTTGGTGTCATAAAGAAAAGTACAATGTCCTTGTTGCTTTTTATATAGCTAATGAACATATAGCAATTTAGAACATATTTGACACCAGTTTTGTTAGTTATCTGATTTTGCTTTTGATGTAGATGTCAAGTCAGAGGTCAGCCCCAGCCTTGTGGCCCATTGGGCCAATGTGGTTAAAACACCAGTGTCTCTACACCAGCTATGCACAAGGGAGTAATGGGGTCACTTTTGACTCCTCACCATGAATGACCAAGTACTCATTTATAGCTGGGTCAACTGAGGGTAGCTTGGTATGCCTTCAGAACCAGAGCAAGGTACTTCAACTGCTTTACCACCATGCCCCTTGATGCAGGTGTTATGTTTATGGGATCCCCCCTTCTTTTTCCTTCCCCCGTAGCACACTTTTTAGCTCTTCACCAGTGAGTTTTCTTGCTGAACAGCTAGGAACAGAAATTACACATAA